ATATACCAAAAAAGTGTTAAATCACTTTAACATGGACAAAACAACTCTTCTAAGTACTCATATGGTCATCAGATCACTTAAAATTGAAAATGATCCATTCCGACCACATAAGGAAAATGAAGAGATACTTGGTCCTGAAGTACCATATCTAAGTGCAATTGGAGTCCTTGTGTGTCTTGCAAATTGTACGCAATCTGATATATCATTTTCTGTTAACCTTTTGGCAAGATTCAGTTCATCCCTTGCACAAAGGCAGTGGAAAGGGATTAAACATGTCTTTCATTAGCTTCAAGGGACTACTATTTTAAGTTTAATTTTATCAAAAATTTCAGATAGAAAAATAGTTGGTTTTGCAGAGACAAATATTTATCAGATCTATACAAAGTCCAATCTCAAACAGGATACATTTTCACAATCAGAGGCATTTTTATATCTTGACATTCTCAGAAACAGACATTTATGGCCACTTCTTCAAATCATGCTGAGATCATCACATTTCATGAAGCGAGAAGAGAATATATATGGTTAAGGACAACTAGCCAACATATCCGATTAAGTAGTAGAATTCGCATAAATACGAAGCTAACAATCTTGTATGAAGACAACGATTCATGTGTTGCTCAAATGAAGGAAGGATACATAAAAAGCAATATAACCAAACATATCCATCCAAACAAAATTCATATAATTAAAAGCTTGAGAAAAGAAATGAAATTAAATAAGATATGTCCGATCATGTGACAATTAAGCCAATGTTTTCACAAAAGCATTACCTACCACTATGTTCAGATACCATGTCCATAACATTGGAATGCGTTACCAAAAAAACTTATAAGATAACATCTTGCTCATTTGAAGGGAAATTCGCGTGATTGTACTGTTTTACCTGATTATGGGATTTTAACGAGGCTACAAAAATGTTAAGCAAAGATTAGAGTAACATTAATCTCCAAAGAAAAGAGTATTATGAAAGTCAAATAGCAACAACGAGGAAAGTCATCAAATGAGGCTACGAACAAAACGTGATGAATAATTGTGGAGCTCAGATCACTATACGCATTTAGTAAACCTTTTTTTTACCTTTTATATAAACGAACGAAAGCATTCGATGTAGAAACATAATTCATTCTCAATATTTTACAACGAGTATTAAAAGTCTCTCTATCTCATCTATTTTATTATCAATATCTTTATCTTCTGCAGATATGAATTTTTTATCTTTAATTATATTTATCTATACATAAATTATACGTCATATTATAACAAAATATTATTTTTCCCCCTCTTTTCACATTTTTTCATGTGCTTTATTTTTTTCCTATGGTTTATCTTATGAATTTTTTTTATACACCGATTCATTATCTCTTTCATCTCTATATACACATCTATTAAACTATATAATTTTTTTTTCAAAGAAAAAATCTTCTATCTCTCACCTCAATTTTGACTATTTAAATCAAATTTTCAAATCTATACAAATATACTTTACTAAACATGTAATGTTTTATATTTATAATTTAGTACATGGAGATAATATAATATAATCAATGATATATGTATCACCATTCACTGAGGGTTCTCTAGGTTATGACATCTCAATATCTTTAAATTAATAAAAAAAATAATATTTTTTTATATATTAATTGAAAATATAGTTTAATGAAAAATGATGATTTGTTTTAATTTGATTGTTTAGTATGATTAGTTTGAGCAATTTAAATGTGACGTAGAAATGATAATGTAATTGTGACATGTCACTTTTTAGTACACGTGACTTTTGACATGTCAGTTTTTAGTACACGTGACTTTTGACATGTCAGTTTTTAGTACATGTGGCTTCTCAAATGATATTATTTAATTTATAAATAAATTTTGATGTTAAAGTTTTGATATAAATTTTAAGTTCTCAAATTTTTGACAAAAAATAAGGAAAATGAGAATTTTATCAAATAAATTTGAAATCATATTTTTGACACAATTTGTCGGGAAAATTTATGGATTTCAAGTATTTAGCAGGAAATTTGTGGCCAGTCTATTTTGTCGGAAAGTTTTTGATATCACAATTTTGACATAAAACTTATAGATTCACAACATTTGGCAAACAATTTACGAAATCAAACCAAAATACTCTAAAATAAATGTTTAGGTGCGAAAGCTACAAATTCATGTTTTTGGCGGAAAATTTCTGAAATCGAGTTTTCACGAAAGTTTTTTGAATTTATATATTTAAGTAAGTTTTTGGGCGGCGGATTTACGGTTTCACTTATTTGGCAAAAATTCATGAAATCAAAATTTTGACTGGTAGTTTTTGGAATCACATTTTTAATGTAATGTTTTGGCAACAAAAAACATTATTTAGGATTCACTATTTGACAGGAATTTACAAAATTGAAATTTATATTAATTTTTTCTGGATTCCCACAAATCTACCCTCTCGATTTCCTGTTCCTAGTAGGGTGTGCATTGACTTGAGTGTGAAAGAACCTTCAGGAGAAAAACTCCCTTCCGGTCCTCCCTAGAGGCCTGACTTACTTGTTCGCCAGTATATGCATGACCCAGCCAGACTTTTGCCTTTGAGCCACATACCGCTCATCCTCATAGAGGACAAAACTCAGAGACCTAGCTCCGCTACCCAGACGATCACACATCTCCTGTAAGCATTTTGTAATTTGCTCCCGAACAATTGACATTACAAGGAGGGGTAAACCAGTATGCAGTCTCACGAAGATAGTAGTCACAACGTTACCAGGCAACCAACCGCTGATACGGCCCGAAGCCTGCAGCGGTCGAAAAAGACAAGAGTCACCCGGAAAGAACCGGGCTACGGAAGTTAGAAGACAAAGAAAGCGGGGAGGAGACCATGCTTCCATAGTCAAGCTGGACCACCGGCCTAAGCTATGGCCTTCAAGGGGGCCCCACTCCGGAAGTATTCGCCCCCTGACGTAGAGTGAGACAAGGCCAGCCCTCGACAAAGCCTAAGGCTCTAGCCGGTCAAGAACATCTGTGCCTCATCATGAGCCTTCCAGCCAAAGCGAGGGCCCTCAAGTCCCCTAGGCAAGAAGATTTCGGGAAACCGTTGAGTTTTGAGACGGTCTATCACCATCCCGAAAGGAGTAGATTCTATAGACCCAAGGGAGCAGTCGGCAGGGAAGGGCGCACCAATTCGGGCATCACCTCCTTTACCGCGGGAGAACCAGACTTCGAAGAGGAGAATACATCGAATATAGAACGTGTACGAGCGGATGAGAGCCCGACCCGCGAGGAGGATCTAACAGGTGATGGAGAAACAACGTCTCTAAAGAGGGCGCTGAGAGGACGATCTCCCCGCGCTCTGAGTAACCCAAGTATCGGGTTGCAACCTGTCGGGAGCGTAAGTCCCAAAAAGGGACTCTAATCAAGACACCAAGCCTGGAACAGGATAAAACGACGGAGAAGAGTAAGCCCCAGGAAAATCGACATACCTTGTGTATACAACGGGGAGTGAGGCGGCAACACGAGAGAACTTTCGTGAATACAGATAGGAAACAGCAGAAAGTTAAAGTTAAAGGTCTTGAAGTTACGTTTTTATTGTAGAAAATGGCTGTAGGTTTTTTTTTGCTATAGCTGTAGATTTTATTTCTTTAAATTTTTGGCTGTAGAATTGTATAATTTAGAAAGCATAAATTTATGTGCTTTAGAAAATAATGCTTTGTACAACCAAATAAATAAATAAAAAAAGAAATATTTTTACTGTGAGTAAATAAAAGAAAGACAAAGTTTATAAATCATGATTGATATGATTTAGAGGTTTAAACATAAATATTGATGTGTACAGCATCTACAGCAACAACCAATCAAGCCCTATCATTTCTTTCAAAATTCATGATTCAATATGCCGTCGAACCCCTAAGTCTCATTTTATTCACTTAATTAATTTAAATCCTTCATAAAAAGAAAGATTAATAAGGTTGAATCATTGCTTAATAATAACTAACTAAAAAAAAGCAATATTTATTAGCATTTTCTACTATGTTTTTTCTTCTTCTGTTATTCTTTTTTATATATAAATGCTATAATTCCTGATTTATTCTTTATCTTTATACTGCTAAGAACTACTCGTTTTATTGTTACTTATTATATGTCAATTCTGGTAATGTGTAGATAAAAATATAACATATAGAAAGAAAAAGAAACAAGAAAAAATAAATGAGAAAATTAAGAATGTAAAATGAAACGCAAAGGAAATCAGACAAAATAAAACCATGAACCTAGAGAATCATTTTAGAAAGAACTTGAGAGAAAAAGTTTAAAGTTTGGGGTTTAGGTTTCAGGGTTTATGATTTATAGTTTAGAGTTTAAGATTTAAGATTTGAGGTTTAAGGTTTTAAGGTTTAGGAAACAAAATCTGAATAAAAAAAAAATTAATTTTTTTTCATCGTTAAAATATTATATTTAACTAGATATTTTCTCTCTTATTCTCTTTCTTTTTTTTATATTAGATCTCACTCAAAACCATATATTTTTTGGATACTTTATTTAAGTAAAAATGTATACTCTACCTGATCCGCACATTAAGCTAGACATTTTTTCTCTCTCTAGCTCTCTCTTTAAGACACATTTTTTTCTCTCTGTAAAGGCGGTTATTGGGAGATGGAGTTATAAAGTTTTGATTGATTTTAAGAGTTAGAGTTTTGTTCAGTTTGTAAAAAGTATTTGTTAAATTTGGAAAGAATTTATATATTTAGAAAATCTATCAAAATATTTTATTATAAAAACTTTAAAAATCTAAACTATATAGGTAATATTTTGAAAATCTTGTTAAATCTTGTTTTATGAGTTACATTTTTAAAATTCATATCTTAATAATACAAAATTTTAATAGAATCATAGAATCTTTAAAAACTGAACTTTTTGAATAACAAAGAATTTTAAATAATATTTTTAATTTTAAACTAATAATAATAGATTTTATTAAGATTTTATGAATCTATAAATCTCAAAATTTAAAATTTAAAAAATTCTTTATAATTTATCTTCAAATAAACCCATAAGACACAAAGGTAAATTGTCCAGATACTTTAAGATACTTATTAATACCTGTTAAGTTAAATAAGGTTTTTCAAAAGAAAACATCAACAAGATTCGAGCTTCTCATCATTTCTCACACAGTCACACTATTTGACATCACTGAAGATATCTACAAAGTAATAACAGAAGTTTCAACATTATGTGCAAAGCCATCAATCAGAAACACAGTGCCCGGAATCGGGACTTTGAAGTCGCAATCTTAATTTTCCGCTATGATACTGTCCAGCAACGACTCACATGCATCTTCAAGCAAGTCCAAGACCTGTCAAAAGAAATAGGTGCAACCAGAAAAGAGATCACGATTGAATTTTCAATATGATCAAACAGGAAAAACTTTTGGGAAATCCAACGCCAACTTAAAAGTCTTATAACCAATATTAACGATCATCAAGATGATACTAACCAACAGTTAAGAGATCAATAACTCTCCAACGGTGCTACTACTAAGTGCACTCGTGGTTGTTATTACCTTCTCAAAACCTTGAGTTCCACCGTAATACGGGTCCGGGACAAACTTGTCGTTGTGTTTCTTGCAATAAGAACACATAAGCTTAACCTGAAAACCCAATTGAAAAACATTCTATAATCTCCTGAAAAATAGTTCCAAAGTTCAGCAACAACAAACACAAACTCGTACCTTTTTATCTGCATCCGGTGGATAATTCCCTCTGGCTTTCCATACATTATAAGCCTCTAATATATCCTCTGTAAAGAATACAACAAACCCAATAAATCTCCATTTGCAGAGAAATTGATGTAACCACATAACAATCATCACTCTTATATTCCACCTTTGTTCTGGTCATCCATTGCAAGAATGAGATCAAACTCCCTGAAATCAGATGCCTTTATTGGTCTAGACAATGATGTTATCTCAACACCACGACGTTTTGCAGCACTTCTCATTCTTGGATCTGCCATATTTCCCTTTTAACAAAAGCACTTTGCACAATCAAAAACATTAAATTTTCAAAGTCTAATCACATCACCAAAAACCCTAAAGCCAAAATCATCTGACGAATCATTCATTCCACTATTTGTCCACAAAACTCAAATCTTCTTTCTCAACCCTAAAACAGATCAATTTGTTTGTGTTCTTCCTCTTAAAAAAAGCAAAAGACTTGATCACAAATCAAAGTTGATTTCAAAGTCTAATGAAAAACCCTAAAACCAAAAACAATGTTAAGAATCATTCATTCCACTAACTGTCACCAAATTAAATCTTCTTTCTAAACGCTAAACAGATTAATTTGTTTATGTTCTTCCACTTTGATTCGAAAAGCAAAAGATTTGATCACAAATCAATATAGATTTCAAAGTCTATTCACATCATCAAAAACCCTAAAACCAAAAGTAATCTGAAGAATCATTCATTCCACTAATTGCCCCCAAATCAAAATCTTCTATCACAACCCCTAAAACAGATTAATTTGGTTTTTTTTTGTTCTTTTTCTTTGATTCGATCACCTCGTGATAATCCATGGTTCCGGCGGAATCAATGTTGAATTTGGAATCGAGGCCTCTCTTCTTCACAATATCTCTAAAGACTCCTTCAGCTGCTGGGCTCCTACAAATGTTTCCGAGACAGACGAAAAGGACGGAGAAAGGTTTGGTTTCGCTGCTCTGCGTCGGAGTGGCCATTGAAGGAGACGATGCGAAGCACACAAGGGAGGGAGAAATTCTGGGTTTTCCTCGGGAAATCGAAATGAGATTCGGGTTTTTGTTAGATGGGCGTTTCGCTGAGAGGAAAGTAGATGCGCGAAGAGAAGGAAGAGAAAGAAACGGAGTGTAGTGGCAGAATGGTAAATAGGAAGGGATTGTTGGAGAAGTGGTGAGCTTGGGATAGTACTGTGACGTAGTAGTCGTCATTCCCGGAGAATTTGGAGATTTGGATATTCGAGTTTTCAGTTCTTAACTCTTTTTCCGTAAATGAGCAAAATAATCAGGGGTACATTTGGTAATAAGGTGTAGAAATAGGAGAAACCACATTCGATCTAAGCTAAACCTGAATAAAGCGAACCAAACCGAATTAACAGAAATCAAACTGAACCAAATAATAACCGAATGATTATTTTTTGTTTAAAATATTTGGATATTCAAACAAAATCCAAACCAGACCAAACAAAAAATCTAAAAAATCTAATCTCAAGTAGATACAAATCCACACACAAAAATTTATGTGTTTTTGTAAGGAAAGAACTTATGAAAATTAAAGGTTATATTCTCTCGAACAGATTGACAGTATAAGCTAGCACTAACTGAAATAAGGATTTGATATTAATCGGTTGAATAAAACGATTACAAAGATTTCTATGAAAAAAATGAACTGAAAAGAGCTCTGAGAGCAGTAACAGGGTTTTCGTGTGTAAAAGTGTCGAAGAAGATCAAGCCAAAGAAGATCCTTTAAACTAAGTCATTTGCCTTCTTTATATAGCGACGCCTTGTCGAGCTTCAACCTCCAGCGCGTATCTCGGCCACGTGCAGCAACTTTAGCCAGAAATCTCGCCATGTGCAGCAGCTTCCTCCGTGAAATTCGAACTTGTTTGAATTGGCGAGAATATGCTCTGACTTGGCTCGGATCCTTCCTTGTTTCTCGGGATTTTGGTCGAGCTGGAGCTCGACCTCGTCGAACGGAACGTTTTGTTGTTCAGGATTGGATCGTTGAGAGAGAATGGGCCTGGGTCGTAGGGTCAGAGTCCAGTCAATTTGGCTTAGTTTGGATCTGCATGTTGCGCTTCAGTGGGCCGTATTTAAGGTGCTAAATCCAGCTCCAACAATTTCCCCCCAGCCCATTAACGAGAGCGAGCTCGATCTTTAATGGGCGGCAAGATGTGACTTTCGAAAGATTTTGTGTCCGATTACGTTGACGTCATAGAGTCAGTTAATCATTCGAGATCAACGGCTCAGATCTTGGAAAGGTGAAAAGTCCGTTGATCGTGTGGTCGAGAATCGACCTCGAAACCGCAGTTTGACGTGTTGAGATAAATTTGTTATTATCTCGTCTAGGTGGACGGTTGGGATTCAGAGTAAATATTAATATTTACTTTTCTGTTTTGGCGGCCGAGCTTCCCGGGGTAAAGTACAGCCCTCGAGAGGATTCGCGCAGATGCTTTTTGACGTGGAGGGTTAAGATGGAGAGAGAGAAAGATGATCTGACGGCTTCGATTAATTGGGCTCTGCAGCACGCCAGATTCATCGAACTGAATATTCAACGGTTGAGATCTCGGAATCGGATGGCAGAGATTGGCGCGTGGCCAGATTTTCTGCGATTTATGAGGTAAGCAATAATTACCGAGATATAAAGTCCACCTTCTCCACTCCTTCTTTAACCGCACCAGTTCGGCGATTTGATAGGGTCAGGTTTTACCCAAATAAAACTACTGCAAGTGCACAGCAAAAGCAGTCGTAGTGTAAGGGGTTATCGAATCCCAAGAGAGTAATACAAACTACACTATCGAATGTAGATTCGGATTAAGCTAAGCAAGATATGATGTATGTAATGCGAATGAATGAATGAAAGTAAGCAAATGATTTTGTGAGATGATCTAAGTTCCAGAAGACTAAAAGCGCTAAGTCAGGGCAGTTCGCAGGTTGAATCCAAGAATGTATGACGCAGGAAATCAGGAATGATTAAGAACCGTTTTAAACATGAATCACTGATGTATAACTAATCAATTCTCATTGTAAAAGTTATCTATGCCTAAATCACAAAGTTTCAAATCTCTTTGCAAATCCTAACAACCTAAGCATGCAGGAATGATCAGATTCAATTGTTTACAAAACTCTTAAGCCAAATCTCTTTGCACTAAGTTGCTTTGCTCATCAAATACTAGTTCATGTTATGAATAATGCCCTCACATATATTTAACAACCTAAGATTTTCGGATTCCTAGATGATGTGTCTCAGAAATTCGATTTTAAAGCAAGCAGAGATGAAAAACCATAAGATATTCCTAACAGATAGCGATTCTACAATCTTTTCATCAACCTTTGAAAAACTCTAACTTAACTAGCAGATTACTCAGACATGATTATGAGATCACAAAATATAACTGAATAAAATTGCATTAAGAGAAAGAGTAAGAAATAAAGGGGGTTCGAAATCTTCTCAAAAAAGAGTACAAGATTTGTCTCCCCAAAAAGCTCTAAATAATCTCTCTCTAAGCTCTCTGAATTCTTAAAAACTAAGATAATAGCCAACAATGGCTGAAAAACCTAATAAATAGAGGCTAAACACGATCTGGGGTCTTCATGTAAATAAAGGAACTTCTGGGCCAATTCTGCAAATCTTCTTCATACTTCAGGTGGTGACGAGCGTCACCAAAGGTGGTGACGAGCGTCACTATATGTGATACTTTCTGCTTCGAGCTTGGTACTTCGTGGCTTCAACTCAGAATGCTCCAAAAGGTTCCAAAATCTCCAATCATGCTCCAGACATGCTATAACCTGCAAAGACTCTTCTAGGACTCTAAAAAAACCAAAAAGACTCAATAAAAAGGACTTATGTCATGGTTAAAAACCATAAAAACCATGATATATCAACTCCCTCATACTTAGCTTTTGCTTGCCCTCAAGCAAACATCAGACAAAGAATAAGGTCGAGGTTTGAAAACAAGAAACAGTCAGTCAGTCATCAGGAACACCACACTGGTTAGAACTTTCGAATCCACATACCACATAGTCAACACAAGATCAAATTTCAGTCTAATCATCACAAGCTTAGCAAATCTCTCAAGTCCAGTCCAAATCCCTTCAAGAAACCCAAAATTTCTACTGCTAACTCCTTATTTTTTATCTAAGTGTGATATCTCATCAAAGTTCTATCATCTTAATCACTTTACAGATTCTTTTCCCTTCCTAACAGCTGAACAAATAGATCTCAACACAGCTCTCCTATTTTCTCTTCCCTTAATCTTTTCCTTAGGATATTTTCGATTTTTTTTCACTTCTTTTTCTCAACTTTTACAGTCTAAGATATGGGGCTACTCAATACTTGTGTTCCTTGTGAGGAGACAGGTTCTTGAGTGTGTTCACTACTGTTGTTCCTTGTGAGGAGACAAGGTCATGAATGCACCATTCTTTGGACTTAAACTTTTAAAAACTACATTAGGGAAGATCAAAGAGAGACTGTATCTTAATCTTATTGTCAGTGTTGAAAGAGAGAATCAAGATCAATAAGAATCAATCACCAAGACAAGAAGTTTAAAGTTCATTAAGGTGGAGCTAGCAGCAAATTTTTCAGATTCTCTAAGAACCTAAACCTTCATTGCTAGACTGATCTACCTATGACTTTCAACTTAGTGAGACTTGTAATCAACTACTGTGGCAATGGTTCTTATCAGCAAAAACGTCCTATGGTTAGTTCCAAGAAAAACTAACAATTTCAAAAATTTTGACTCTAGAAAAACAGGTTTTTGACTCAACTTTAAAACTCTATAAACATGACACAAAGCACACAACGTCAGTAACCACCTCCCCCAGACTTAAACAACACTGTCCCCAGTGTTATTAAGCCAAGAGTTGGTCAGAAAAATGAATGAGAAGTCGAAAAACCAAGTCAGAAAAGTGTTACCTCGCGTGGGGTCGGGTGACTAGCGTCACCAGTCTGGTGACGAGCGTCACCACGACCTGTATTGCCCAATTCTTATGTCAGATGTTAATTAACGAAGTGTTTGCATATGCACTCGAAAGTTAGACTTTTTGAGCATTCGAACACATAATTAACAACATCCAAACATAGCAAAAATAACCTGGTTCAACAATCTCACAAAACATCATCAAAGAAACTGACAACTGACTCAAAGAAAATATAAAAATGACTCAAGAGCAAGAAAAAAAATAAAAGGGAAAAAGGAACAAGTAACCAGATAGTGAAGCCTCAATCCTCATCCTCACAAGGCTCAGTGGTGTAATGGGGGCGGACACAACCACAGTTGCTAAGTGTAGCAACAGCATCCCAGAGTCCCTCAAAGCTGTCAATGACATACTCCTGAAAAGCAGCCATATCCATGGGTGTCTGTGGTCGTGGAGGACGCCTGAAAGCAGTAGAAGAACCACTCTGGCGTGTAGAAGGTCCAGCATCAGTAGCAGCGGTAGTAGAAGCAGAGGCGCCAGCTGTAACAGCTCTAGCAGGGCGTAGAGTCAAGGGGCGCAGAAGAGTCCGTGCTGGCATGAAGAATAGCTGGCGTGGATCTCCCTGAATAGTAGTGAAGGCTCTCTGTGGCAATTTAATGCCAACATACTCTCCAGAAGTGGTAGTGAAAGTCCACACAACTCCAATCTTCATCCAAGTGACATGGCGCAGATACTGGTCATCCATAAGTGATCTGTCACTGCGCAGACTGCAAGGTGTGACATCGATCTGGAAATGATGGAAGATCGGGGTCAGCAGGCTGCCAACACTCTCAGTCTTCTCCCCTGGACTGGTGAATGGCTTGGTCTTTAAGGAGACCAGATGCTCAGCGAAAACAGCGCCTAAGTTGGCTCGAACCATACTATCAACAGGTATCGAATCATCCAGCATCTCATAAAGTCCGTAGTAGAGGAGAATCAGCTCACTGACTCGAGTCTTGCTGGGCGCAGACTTGCACAAAATGGTGTGGCCAAAGAGGTGCAGAATGTACCTCAAAACCGGATGTCGAACCTCCGTCTGCGTGCTAGTCTTGCTGTCATAGACTCCATTCTTGAACTTGGACCAGAATGTCCGCATATGGGTCCACTGAGAGGGAAGGAGAACGCCTGTGGGATGGTCAGAGAAGCCATAGATCCCACAAAGCTCCATCAGACTGATCCGGTATCGAACTCCTCGGATCAGAAACGTCATCGTGCCTTCCTGCGCACGCTTCGCCAGCTCATTCGCGTAGTAGACGCGAACTGTAGAGAGAAACTGGTGTACCAAATCTGGGTACAGATCATACTGCTGGAACGGCATAGTCCTCATCCCAATGCGCTCCAGAATCTGAAC